TCTTTCCCTTTAACTGCCTCAGTCTTGACTTTTCTGTGTGGTTTCTATTTTTCTAGACTTCTGATAAGTCTCATTATTCTCTTCTCGACTTAAGTCAATTGGAATCAATACAGAACAGTGCTATTTTAATGCCAAAAGGTCAAAACTCTCATCAGTTCAGGCAGACAATGAAAAGGTCTGTAATTTTTTATGGCCAAAGAAAACAATTTAGACATAACAAAGCCTTTCTTTCCAAATGCATGTATGTACACATTGCCACATACTTGTATTTGCATTGCTAGAAATCCTGCTTACCTTCGTGAGACTCTCCATTTCTTTTTTCTTGCATTGCAGCCTCAAAGTTAAGCTGAAGGATTTTGTTCAGAGTGTTTATCCATTCTTCCATTTCAAGTTCACTGTCTGCAGCTAAAAGGTAACTACTCTTGTCCTGCATCTTGAGCTCAAATGCAAAACGTCTGACTTTATTGTTCTGTAAGAAAATAAAAGGTCTTTACAGTACCTTTACATGCTGTTGAATCACAACCAAAGGAAGCTGAAAATATTTCAGATCTTCTAACAAAAATATATAGCTTGGTATTTTGAACAACTGTAAATTACAATTAATACTACTTCCTTTCTGATGTTTGACCTTTTGAAGCTATTTGTACCACAGCAACATGTGGAAGTGTGAAAGAACACAGCCCATTGTCAAAGTTTTAGCCAACAAACAAGTGACAGATGCTCTCTGTTATTGTACCACTACTCTCCCAGGGGAAGATAAGGGGGATCAGTTTTCAATTTCCCCTCATCATTCTGGTTGTAGTAATTTTATAACAGAAAAATCTAATTTCCAAATATCAAGCCTTCGTGTACTCAGATAATCTAAAAGTAAAGCTTAGATCTAGTGACTAAAAAACCCATTAAACTATTAACATTTGAGTGAGAATCACTTGCACATTAGAATTCTATACCAGAAATTAAATCATAACCAACCTCAACCCTGAATGCTCTGATATTGCTATACATTTAAATACACACGAAGTTGGGAATCAGTTCCTCCTATGTTCCTCAACCACTACTGTCATGCCTTTTGCACAATTTAAATCAAGGCTTCAAATGCTACTTAGCTTGATTCATGTTTCTGGGAATGAAAAGACTTAAATGAAAATTGTACATATTATCAATTTGTTTTTTTAAAAATTACAACTCATTAGATAAAACAATAAGACAGACTTAATGGCTGAGGGATTTTTTTGGTTAAGTTAAATTAAATGCTGAATTACATTTTAGTTTCACTATACCTCAGATTTTTTAATTAACAGACTAACTACTGGTTGGCAAAGCAGTCAGCTTTTTACCAAAGGTAAATTTCTGTTAGGAGGATACAAACAAATCCATGGACTCCAGAGGCAAGGTAGTCTTAACAACTAAAATCAGTACTTAAGTAGTTGAAAAATCTTAAGAACAGTAATCTTTAACTTTTACTTAACTATGTAGAGACCACTTTTTGCTAATTTTAGGTTCAGATGCTAATACAATAAAAAAAAAACAACAGTAAAACAATGAATAAAAATAACAACAGCCAGACACTATACAGTACATAGTATTAAAAAAATCACACATGTGGAATGGGGCCATTAAGTATAAAATTTTATAGTTAAAAATCTCATTTACTTGCTCCTCATCAACAATTCAAGTGAAGAAAACAGCTATTTTCAAACACTTTTTGTATTCTAACCATTTAATAACTTCTTGGCTTTGAAGAAGTGAACATTAACTGATCTTGGTTTTGCACTTGATGTTGATCCATAACTAGTCTCAAATTTCTACATGCAGTTTTTAACATCCAGGTGACAAGATGAACACTGATGGTACTGCTGAATACAACATAGTGTTCAAGACAATAGACCACTATAAATTTCAAGGATCCAAAGTACAGTTTAACTTAAATACTACTGTATCAGCCCAAAACCTTACTTCCAGTAGAACAAAGGAACAGTGATAAAAATGAAAAGCTTCTGATAGGAGTCTGAGGAAATTTCAGGTTACTTGAATTGAACGGATGGAACAGACAGCATGAAAAGATAATTTTAAAAAGGGGATTTTCAGGATTAAAAACCACAAAAACATAGAATCACAGAATGGCTAGAGGTTGGAAGAGGCCTCTGGAGGCCATTTAGTCCAAGCCCTTGATCAAGCAGGGCCAACTAGATCCAGTTGGCCCAGTACCATATCCAGGTAAGTCTTCTAATAACTCCATGGATGGAGACTTCACAACCTCTCTGGGCAACCTGCACCAGTGCTGGGTCCCCCTCACAGTGCTTCCTGATGTTCAGATGGAAACTCCTGTGTTTCACTTTGTATCCATTGTCCTTGGTCCTGTCACTGGGCACCACTGAGTAGAGCTTGTATCCATCCTTTTTGCATCCTCTCTTTAGCAAGATCCTCCTGAGCCATCTCTTCCCCAGGCTTAACAATCCCAGCTCTCTCATCCTGTCCTCACAGAGGAGATGCTCCCTCCTCTCTCCTTTAATCATCTTCGTAGCTCTCTGCTGGACTCTCTCCAGTATGTCTATGTCTCTCTTTTACTAGGGAGCCCAGAACAGGACACAGGACTCCAGCTCTGGCCTCACCACTGCTATTCAGCTGTTCAGAGGAGAAGGATCATCTTCCCCTACCTGCTAGGAACACCAGGTCCTCTTCTGCCAACTGCCTCCCAGCTGGGTAACCTGTTCAACACGTATTGGTGTCTGGGGTTGCTCTCCCTAGCTGCAGGAATTAGCAATTTGCAATTTCTGAAAACCGTAATGTTTTCTGATGCTGCAAACCAATACTGTACTGCCCACTGAAGTCTGTCTTGGATCCACAGGCTGAGAACCAGAAACAAGCCATTGCTTGAGTGGACAACAAAAGAGGCAAGAAACAGCCCAGAAGGAGAATTTATATTATCAGAGAGAGAGGTGCCAAAGCAGAGGAAGCTAAGGAGCAGAAGATAAATTTTGAAGTGGAAGACGAAGACTACAACTGTGTTTAAGAACCACTTCATTTGTTGGTTTGTTCTAAAAACACAAACGGGTTTCAGTGGATTTGGCCCGAATTGTACCCCTAAGGCAAAACAATCTATGGCAATCTCTAAATATAACTTGCAATATGAGTAAATTTATTACAGTTATAAGATATTTTTTTTCCATCTATTAAAAGTGTATCCAAAAAAATGATGACATTATTTGGAAAAAAATAATCCTCTGTAAAGCTGTTGTATCTCTCTGCATAAATCTTCAAACTTCATACTAAATAAAGTATTTAAGAATTACATTTTTATTAAAACTTTGACTATTCCTAGCCAAGCTAACAAAACCCTTAAGCCCAAGAGGTTTTTTTCCAGGTATGCTGTGCCTAACAAAACAGTTACATGCTGTACTGTAAATACATAAGAGAATCACAAGGAAAAAAAAATAAATTCTTTTCTTTGGCACTTGCTACTGACAAACATTTTGCCAAAGCCCTTAACTTTTTTAAAATAAAGAAGAACACATGAAAGTAACATTGTAAAGGTCAAATGAAAGCATCTGGAAGGGTGACTGAATTCAATACAATTCCCACAACAAAAATCCCACACAAGAAGCTATGCAAAACATTTTGCAGCTCACATAAGCACAAAACCTAACTGAAATAAACTTTAATTTAATGCTGTCACTGCTTTGCCATGATTTAAGGTTGATGTTTTTTGTGTGTTTGCCTTAAAATTTTGTTGGATATTTCTGATAAATACTTGGTAGCAACTAGTAATTTATGCCCTTTTCAGAAAGATTTTTAAAATTGTCTCCTACCCTTTAAAATATCTTTCACTGTTTTTGCAAGACGCAGTGTGTCTAATTGTTCCTCTGCATAATAGGTAATTATCTACATCTGACAAAATTTACTTTAAAAAAAACAAACAGAATTGCTATCAAATACAGAACTAACTGAAGAGCAGGCAGAATAATTATAATTACCTGAACGACTCCCATGCATGAATCTAGAAATATAGATCCTTTTGGTTCTTTTGATATTTTTTCATCTTTGTAGAAATTGAGATTATAGGATCCATCACCAAGTTGGATTAAATGGAAAAATCTCCTCTTAAATGACTAGTGAAAAGGAAGACATAAAAATGATTACAACTCTAGCATTAATTAGCTTCATATTACAAAACATGTAGGTGCTATTTACACAGTAGGTTATAGAAAAAAAGCTTTAAATTCCACATAAACTAACCTGAATCCTCAGAAAATAAAACAGAAATAATTAATTAAAAAAATAACTAAATTAAAAACTAACTTCAAAACCTGCAGAAGATTGTATTGTATTCTTTGAAAGCATTTTTGACCCATTGAAAGCTATCTAAAAGTGACTCTACAATATTACACATTATAGATATTTACTATGTTAACCATAAAAGAACCTTTGTTTTGTTATCTAAATAAAGAGGCAATACAAATGAAAACTTGTATTATATAGTCCCCTTCCTACTATTGACAGACTGGGGTCTAGTTAAAAAAAATTATTTAATGTGCTGGACTTATGTCACATACAGAATTTTTAATGCATTTTTTTTCTGATTTAAGCATAATAAAAGGAAAGTAAGGTTTCACAGCTATAGATTACATACGAGCTTCCCTCCTTCATCTCACACTACTTTTTTCATAGAAGTAAAACACACACTCATTGACTTCTCAAAGGCACAGTGATATTTTAATATTGGTGTTCAGTTTTTACCATGTGCAAGACATTATTAAACTTACTCTCATTGTCACACTGATCGCACTATTCATGTTGCCTTTGTAGAGCCATCCTTGTTTTGTTATTCCACCCTTCTGAGACCCAAGAGATGCTGCATCCTGGAAATGGATGAGAAAAAAAAAAGTTCAGTTTTGCATCACAGTCTGAAATTGTGACTTTTATTAAAAATTTCAGAAGTCATTTTTAAAAGATTGAATAGCTATGCTCAAAATGTAATTATAATCATGTACTCTGACAGGTAACTTGGCCACTTATAACAGGCTTTCTCTACAGCCAGCAGGATGATCCAACTTTTAGATAGCTAAGTATTAATCAAGGTAAATCCCACTAAAATAGAGGAAATAGGGAAAATCTCAAAACATTCACTTTGTAAGCTTTTTCGTATCTTCTCATCTTACAGGGCAAGTGTTTTTCCCAATTTCTATTACCAAAACAATGTAAACTCATGCACATCCAAAACTTCAATCCAGACTTCTCAAATCATTTTGCTTTGTATGTATTACTTCAAACACATTACTTATTTAAGAATGTACAGAAAATTAAGCCTTGAACTCTTGAATTGCATCTGCCCTCTTACAGATCAGAATCTAAGCTTTCTAAAGAAAACAAGACCAAACTTGGCAGTAATGGCAAGTTCACAAACAGCAGATCCAATACATGTATCACACATCACACCCACTGCCTGTATCTCTTCCATATGCCAGTTCATGGAACTTACTAACTACATCAAGACCCACAGGATGTTAACAACTACCAAAAAACCAATACTCTACTATAAAAACTAATCAAAATGACAGATTTCTAATTGCCACAGGATAAATATTAAATCACCAGTTCAATTAATCTTTTAGAGCAGTATCAAGTAGACTTTCCACTTCCCCATTCTGACACAACTAAAACATTAATAAAACCAGACATGTAAGAAGAGTTTCAACCATCTAGAGGAGAAATAATCCAGATAATTTATTATCCAAACATTCAAAATTAGCCGAGTACTCAGTTGAAAACAAAGCTCAAAACTTCCCCAAGTGCCTCGACCACTTTTTCTAATTCTTTTTGTTAGCTATTAAGAGAACATACAACAAAAAGTGATTGCGCATGGGGGACAGCATCATTAGTTCAACAACAAAACATTGAAACAAAATGTTGGAATAGCATGAATTAAGTTCATTGAACTAAATCAAGAAACTTCCTGCAAAAAAGTCACTAATTCATTTATTTACAGCTTATTAGTCTGTCTAGCTTACATATTCCTATGCATATGCACATGTGAACTTCAAAGAACTGCAAACTGAGGGCAAAGGATGCGTCATTCTGTTCCTTCAAAAATTCTAATCAGCTTGATGCTATGGAAGTTAGGTCAGGTAAGGAGGATATGTTTACCAGCTATCAGACCACCTAAGGCCCCAGAAGCACAGACCAGAAATACTCAGTAAATTTCCATTTGCCCAAATGAGCCTCACCATCCCAGCAGTACAGTCTACTTGTCTCATATTTTCAATTCATTACTCCTCACTCCTGTTCTAATACCCAAGTAACCATTTTCCTCGTATACAATCAGGATACAGAGGCAAAAACCTCAACCACTAGGTTTCCAACTATGCTTCTGCACCTCCACTGGTGGGAGTTATCTCCAAGGAAAGAATGGTTTAAAACCACCCTTACAAGTCTAAAATTATTAGCAGATTATAAGTTATCATCAAAACTTGGCAAAGAACCAGCAACTCTTTTCTATATTTTCACAAACTGTACACAGGACCACCTGGCATGAAAACAATTCCTTCTTTACTTCTGTTAACAAAAAATAAGATTTAGCTCTATTATGACTTTTTCCAGTCCGAAGTCTGAGGTGCACTGCTCCCCAGCTACATTGAACTATGCTTCCTAACAATAAAACTGACTGTCATTTGCGCCTCTCCAATCATACCGTTTCTTTCTGTCAGGCAGAATTCCTGCCTACAGAGCCAAAACCCTACTGAATCTTTCCAGCCAGCCACCTGTTAATACAAAGGAACCCAGAAGCCAGTTGTTAACACATGACTTTTACACTGAAAACATACTTCCTGTTTCCAGCTGCTAAATTAATTTCCTCAGTTTTATTATTATTGCTGCACACTGTGGTTCACCTTTTTTCTAATGCTCTTTCCCACCAACTCTGCTCCAAAAATTTACTTCAACAGCAACTGTTTCAACAAAAACAATTCCTTATCTTGATCCCATACCCCAGGCTGATTTTAAAATTCCATTTACAAACATCAATGGGATGGCCTGATAGGCCAAACTAGTTTTGGAAAGGTAATTCTCTCCTTTTCAATGTGCAAGATTAAACTAATCTTTATCTGATTTTCCTCTGATTTTTAATATCTTACAGCTTTTTCTTTTCTATCATTCTCTTAATAAATCAACTTCCTTTAAAAAATAAACAACACAAACAAAAGCAAAACCAAAAGAAATCCAAACAACTTTTAATCTAACATTTGCATATATGATTTTTGGCATACAAAGATGTTAATGCTTGAAAGGAAAACCTCTTGCATTAATTCTTCTCTTGCGGAAAGTGTTTATCGTTCCCCCACCTTATTCCCGTTAAGCTCCCTTCTCTTCCTAGCCTGCTTTTTCTTGTGTTTATATTTTAAGTTCCTCAAAGGGTAAAAGACCACTTCTCCAGTGATTCTACCTCTGAAACAGATACAACATTTATCCCTGCTTTAACAGGAAACTGGGCAGAAGGAAACAGGAAGTCCTCCCTACTTAAACTTCCTAACAAAAAACATACCACCTGACAATAGTCAAGCTATAGTTTTTCAGTGTTTAACTAACTCCAACCACAAATATTTTTCCTAGTAACAAACACATTCAATTATATTTCAATTCTATCCATGTTTAACTCACTGTTCTCTAAAACAATCCTACTGTCAGAAATACTATCACTATAAATAATGCCAAGTCTTTTAATTGCAGTATAACAGAAAACAAAATTATTCCTATCTCATAGGAAGATTTGGATACAGATGCATGAAATTATTTGTTCAAATATCACAGTGCAGATTAATAGCAGATTAATAGCAGCACTGGAGAAACAGCATCCTGAGACTATCTCATCAGGAATCAACCTATTTAGATGCACTCCCTTGACTATTTTTTCACATTTAATCCTGGAAAACTTCTAAGGAATGACTTTTATTTCGTATGCAGCAGTTCTGAATACAACAGATTTAGAAGCCAAGTAACTGTCAAAAGTTAAAAGAAAACCCAGAAATAATTTTATTTCAATTATCTTCTCTGATGCAAGAGCTCAAGTGCTTGTATGAAAAGAAACTGGCATTCAAATACTGTCTTGAAACTGGGTGTGGTAAAAATGGAAATCACACAAATAACAGAAGCAGTTACTGAAAAAAGTCTTAGACATTTGAATCATACTTGAAAACTGTGTGAGGCTATAGAGATCTCTGTTGTCTCTAAGCCAATGACAAAAAATAAAATGCCTTACTTCTAGTTCAATATTTTAGTTTTTGTTTCAATGACAGATCTCCAGGTCTTATCCTATACTCAAATTTGTGACAAACTAATTTTAACTCACACTGTATAGCTACACTTCCATGCATGCTTAAGTGTGCACACTGTCATGTTGGAAAAGACTCACCTATGATTCTACTCAATTTTGTGATCAAACTGCATGAAATATTTCGCCCTATATGCCTGTATACACAGAAACAGTATAAAACAAGACAGATTTTATGAAAGCTGAAGTACTATACATCATCAAGTACTATAACTTCAATTTCACCATCTGTCAATAGTTGTTCTACTCACATGGCAGATCACAGGAGAACAAAGCTATTTAAAAGGAGATAGATAAAATAACTGCATTTTTTTTCCAGTCAGGCTGTTCAAGCCAATCTCTGTTTTCATTTACTGACATCAACATTTAACCCAACTTGTAACCTCTTCTTAGTCAACATTCTTTACTGAAAGGAATAGAAATTAAGGAATTACTATTATCTCACCTCATCTTTATCTGCTTCTTCATCCACTTCATATAAATGAACTGGAAGCTTCTCTGATTTTGGCCCTTTGCTAGGAAAGAAAAAGTTTCTAAAATACTAGAAAATTTGTGATTAGTTACATATTTTCTAGCTGCAAAAAGATGTTATTTTCCAAACTGAAGAGAAAAAAGTAACGCAGTAAAAACATGTATTTTTCATGAACTATATTTTTTAGCCAGCAATTTTCCTAATTTACACATCTGCCCAGTCTTTCTTTGTTCTGCCTGTCACCACCCTTACACGTAACTGAAGAAAAGCAAATGCTTTCTCATTCACTGCACTCCTGGTATCTTAGGAGCAAGAATTCATAACTGCAACAATTGGTTCTTTTTTAGGACAATGTGTTTATTTAAAGGTTAAAAAACCTGTGAGTATATCTAAACTTTTCAAAGGGAATGAAAACAGATGCAGGGGAGTAGGTAGGGAAGGCATAGTTCTTCCAGAGTTATGGAATTCAGAGTACTCAGCCATCCTCAGGTATTTAAGTTAAGGATCTAATCTCTATACACTCCCTGCAAAATTTTGAAAAAGTTGGAAAATATTTCTCTAGCAGGTGATTTTGAAACCTGTAGTAGATACAGATTAGGCTTTTGCTTTCAATCATCCAGTGAAATTATCCTGTGAAAATCTGCACTAGTTCTGACACTCACTCCTAAAGAGAGTTCCAAAAGCTGCCTTTGAAGCTAGAAAAAACAGGATATCACCATTTTAGTTTCACCTAAACACTAGTTATACTTACTTACATTGTCAACTAGACAACTTCTTTTTTTGATCTGCCTGTCAATCAAGCAGTTTTTTTACGGTATCATTCCAGAAAAAGCCTGAACAAAATTTTACACCTTCGAGTTCATAAATAAATAACATCCAACAAATATTTATAATCTCTACTGACTATTAAACACTGATATATTTTCAGTTACATATTACATGTATTAATATGTTTCTGAAAGAAATACATTTACATTAAATACAGTTGAAGTTCTTCCACAAATTCAAAATCTTTATTATGCCAGTAGTTGACATACTTACCTTGGAAGCTGTCGAAACTCTCCTGAGTAATCTTCATATCTATAGTTAACAACATGCCAGTCAGAATTGTAGGTTTTGATGCACTGTTTTAATGAAAACCAAATATCAGTATTAAAATGGAAGAGTATTAACAGCATTCCCTAGACACACACACAAAAAAACCCACTCTTAAGACATGGCTGTTTATAAACTACTGTGGTTACCTGTTGAACTCTGAAAATTCTGCACGTCCCCTCTTTTGTAATTAAGTCTAATACAATACAGCTCTTTGCAACAAGTGATATGTATCAACAGGACGTGCATTTCATAAAATGAGAAAATGATTAATACACTCAGCATCTGGATTAATCACCTTTAGTTTTAGAAAAGTTAAAGCAGCATTTCGCTGCAACCTAAAACATGACCAAGTCTTTAGAAAATGCAGCATCAAAATACACATAAGCTACTGAAAGAGTATTCAATTTCACACAGACTGATACAGAGAAACCAAATCCGGCCCTTTCTTAAATTTATATTTCTAGTGCAATTAAATTAATATTTAATCTTCATGCTTACAACTGTTGAAAAGCAACTATATCATTAAGCTCTGTTCTAGATGACAGGAAATACCATTTTACTCCACCCATATTGCTACAACACAGAATGTACTGATTTGTCTTGGCTTCGAGCAAAGTAACATAAAACTGGTAACATCGACTGCCAGAAACCATACAGTACAAAATTTTATATGTTACACAAATAGACTTGCATGTACACAAACATAGCATCTAATAATTAAAAAATACTTTATATTTCAAAAGGCAAAGTTACTCTTTGCCAAGCAATTGTTTCTTTAGAAACTCATTAAACTTCATTAATTGCCTGTAACACTCCTTTCTCCAGTCTACCTTCTTCAAATTTATCTCAGAGCTGTTTACATTAGGTGTTAAGGGTATGTATAACTGTAGATAAATCACTTCAAGGTAGATTCAGCTATTTGAAGCTCCTTCAGTTTTCTTGGAATCACAATAGACATTTGCTTGTTTCAGATGTTAAAATATCAGTTTAAAGTATATCAGTAGAAAACCAGAAGATATAAAAGAAGACTAAAATTTTAAACCTTTCATTCCTAAAAGGCTTCAACAAGATACTAAATGAAACACAACTTCACAGTCAGAAACAAAGGAATGTCAACACCAGCAAGTAGTTCTGAGAAACTTTAGGTTTGAGGATGTTTCTTTGTCACCGTTTGACTCAGGTCCGACAACAACGCTCTCGATTCTTCTACATATAGCGTACAAATTGAGCAGTCATAATAAATTCTGAATACCTCTGTTCCAGCAAACTGTAAAAATTATTATGAAGGACTGGTGTGAAACACTTCATCAGGAAAAACAAATCACAATGACTTATTCCAGATTTACTATTGCTCTGATATTATGTGTGGAAGTCACCCATGTTCATCTGGGAAAGCTAAAACCATGAAGAAGTTGGGGGAAAAGCATCTGCAAAAGCCAATTACACAAACAAAATACTTTTAAGCTATCCTGTAATCCTTCTTTTCCAGCCACAAATGGAAAAAAAATACTAGGTTATTCTGGAAGATTTTCAGAAATCACTGACAAGTAAATTGCAATATGTATAAAATTGTTTTTTAAAGGGCTTTTTTCCCTGTTTTCTAAATGGTAAATGAAGGAGAATAAAAACAATCAGGTATAATATTGTCATTACACATGGCCACATGCAATTCCAATATTACCTCAGTTACAAACAAGCTTTGAGCTTCCTTCTCTGCATTTTCAGGAACTGTTGAATGAACGTATCGACTCTGCCGCTTCAGTAACGCTGTCTGATAAGCAACAAAAACAATTAATGAAACTTGCAATTAAAAGAAAGATGATACTTCACGGCAACACTCAATTATATCACTGTAACTAAGACAAAAGCTCAACAGAAAACATTCTGTGAACGCATTGTTTCAGAACAGCAAATTAATGAGAATATTATTTCACTCAACGATTAGCAACATGTTCCTTCTTTCAGAGCAAGGGCAAGATTGGAATCCATGAGAAACAGTTGCCACAGAAAAGTGTTTTCCTCTATTTTGTTAACATGGGCAAGAAAATACTAGTAAAAATAACTCCACCCTGACAAAAGAACTTCAGTATTTTGAAGACAGGCATTAAGGCGGCCTTATTACTACATATAACAATTGTCACTCTTGAAAATATAATAAACCCACATCAACTAAAATTCTTAAGTCAGCCTTATGGTACTTTAAATCTGTAACTGTAAAAGATGAACATTTTACAAAATATTCTGGTCCACAAATGAAAACAGCTACACAGCAACAGAAATTATTTTGCACCATGTGGAAAGGAATCTTACAGCTTAGGTCATCAGAGATGCATAAGCAGAGTCTTCTTGTTTGCTCTTTTGTTGGCTGTAGAATACGAGTCAGTAAAATTTTCCCCCAGAACCACTTTGTCCTCCACATCCCTTTAGGATGCTTGAAATTACGGTTACTAACAGTTAATTATTCAAAATACTGGGGAAGGAATTTGAAAAAAGCCTCAATAGTGTACAAATGGTTTATATATAATATTTTAAGAGAGATATATATATAAAAGCAATTAAGGTTATTAGTAATGTCTCATACCTTACCTAGTAAAGTAAGGACTGTGCAAAATGCAGAAAAAATGTGGAGAAAACTACTGGGTAACAACTGGATAGTCACATATCCAGGCCATCCTTACTTGAAAAGATGTTACACAGAAGCAAATGTTCAAAAAGCAGTGACAGAAACAGTTTTAAAAGAAGTTATGGAAAAGATGGCATGCTGTCTGACAAATCATACCCTTAAAGCTACTGTGTAAGAGAGAATTATCAGTTGTATGGGAATTGTCAGAATCTGTATTATAAAATAATTTCCAAACTAAATTGAAGCCTTGATTTAGAATAGTTGGACAATTTACTCAACACTCCAACTATAGTACTGTAATAGACTCAATGAAAAACACAGAAGAGACTGTAAGGTCAAAAAGTCCCAGTGAAATTTCGTCAAACATTTCAAAATAAGTTATTTTTACCAGCTTACTTTGTGCTGTCTAAAGTGGGGACATTATTTAAAACATTTCTCTTGCTTGTTACTTCTACTCAAGATGTGCTTTCCTGTAGGAAGATCTGGTTTTAGTTTTATTTCTGCAAAGTTAGCATATTATCTATTTTCAGAGATACTTAACTGGCATTAACTAAAAGCCAAGAGCTTTAAGTTAAAGTGTGGTAAATCCACATGGCTCAAGCCCAAAAGTAGCAAAGGTGAAACAAGGTCTAAACTAAGCACCAGAATATCTTCAAAATAAGAGTGGGGTAACTCTGTAGTGGCATAGTTAACTTGGGTAGGAATGTATCCACATTGTGTTTGCTGCAAGTAAACTTACAGAAAACAGAATCATTCAGGTTGGAAAAGACCTGTAAGATCATCCAGTCCAACCTTTAACCAACTTATCCTGTATTGGGATAAGAATGGAGGTAGTACTCCAAAGTTCTGGAAGAAAAGCTTTAGATACAAGGTGTCTTATTGCAAAGGAATCACTGCTATTGTTTTGAGTTACGTTTTCTTTTAATAATTTACCTACTATGCAGTAACATATACCAGTTTTGCAGTCATTGAGTACATTATTTTAATGTGATCCACTCGTACTCTGTTTTGAACTAATTCTATTTAGTTATGAAGCCATTTCACCATTGATTAAATTACTGAAATTCAGGTGACTTTGAATACAAGTTATGAAGATGCACATATTATATGGGGACCATAATGAAATAAAAACAACATCAAATAAGCCACTGTAAATAAAAAGACACAAAGGGTGCTGAAAGTTCAGCCAGCCCAATGACTGAGAATGAAAGGAAACTCAGTCATGTTAACAGTAAAAAGGATCTCCAGACACAACATGAATGACTCTATATTTTTGGTGAGAACAAGTTAGGGAATAACGTGGTTAATTGTGAATTCAGTATGAAAAGCAAATTAAACAATCTTGAAATGATAAACTATAAAATTACCCAAGATGTGTAAAGAAAAAGTTGCTGATAAAGACCTCTTCTGGAAATCAGAGAAAAACAAAGCTTGCTATTATTTGAGTATGATGGCACCACGGAAAATGTAGAAAACCCAAATAAAAAATTACAAGCCTACTCATTTGGATTTGAAGATCAGCACAAAGTAGGACACAAATCATGCTTTTCTGAAAAGTAAATGAGCTGCTACCGAACATGTATAAAAAGAGAGAGAGAAAATAGGATTCATAACCTCAACTAACCAAGTTTAGAATGATGGCAAATGCATTTAAGTGGAAATATGGAAAAGGTTCAAGTAACTCTATCAGTTTGTTGATGAATAATCCTTCAACCTTTTGAGTTTTCCCAGAGCAGAGCATCTTCTGTCCCATCCTTGCTCAAATGAGATATATCTTTGATAGGGGTTTGAGCCTAGAGCTACTTCTCGCTGGGTGTTCTGGGAGCATTCATAACTGAACAGAAAAAAGTTATTTGATGTTGGGTATTTTTTCCTTTTTCCTTCCTAGGTGACTACTTTCAGCAGGAGAAAGAAAGAAAAGCAGGCTATATGTGGTCCAAAGAAGCCAACTACTCTGCAAGTTTTCTTTTCTGATATGGACTAACAATTCATTTTCCTTTAATATTTAGCTTCTCTGAGGTTGTAAGACTTAGAAAATGAATGTGGGGCTAACAGAATGAGACAGTAAAACATCTGCTACAAAAATCTTGCTTTTGAATTTCTGTAAGTATTGTTACAGTTGTACAAAAAAACCACACTACTTTAATTACATTTCAGTTATCGAACTGTATTACCTGAAAAAAGTTATCCAAATGATGCACAAACATTTGTCTCCAATTTTTCCACAGAAATTTCAGCTTTAGCACAATTTCAAAAGTTTTATCAATCTGCCTCTTTCAAACTACGTAACTACTTTTCTTACCTATCGAAAATTGTGGATGTGATATCTAGTGCTGAAAAGTAAGTATTTTCAGTGCTGTTTTAAGTGCTAATTTTAAGGTCATACTGGTAAGAAAATAACTTTACTCTTAATGTCTTTATAAACTACCAGGGCTTGGCTTCCTTTTCAGACCAGTGTTTTTTAGATTGTAATCAGTTTAACCTAAGCACAAGGAAAAACTTTGTAAAAATAAAAACTAAATGCTGTAAGAGGAAACAGGTTTTTAGACAATGGTAGGAGTTTCCACCTATAAGCTGTTTTTAAGTGTGTATACAGGTAGTTCCAAATACTCTAGCTCACTATTTTAAATTAATGTGGGGGATGAGGGCAGTACCAAACATCTGAGCCGAGGCTTACCCAGGAGCTGCCCACATATTGTCTGACAGCAACAAGTTAGGGATAGGAATTAAAAGTAAATATGTGAAGCAGAATGGCCAATACAGAAAATATGCCATCATTTAAATTATTCAAATTATATTGGCAACCATACCAAATCTAGTGGTTTGAAAACTGTAAATATGATTATGGAAAACTGCTCAGGGTTACAAGGCTTAACTTGCAAAAAATAAAAAGCACATTATGATTTCTGTTCTCTGACTTGGTACCATTTTCTTAATACAGTGAATGACACATACAAATGCATTGTGTTGCTGAAAATAAGCTAGATAGATCGAAGTAGCATTGGATTGTCATGTGTACAATAGAATACTTGGAGTAAGCTTGTGCCAACAAATCCTAGAGGGAAATAACAGTTTGATCACACAATAATAAAGTTTGATAAATCAAATATAAAATGAGACTCTGCCAAAGATGATGTAGGGGAAACCCAGAGAATATATTCAGATAGTACACTGCTGCGAGATAAAGAAGCAGGAAATCTGACTATATTCCAAACCTGTGACTACATGAAGGAAATCCTCTGATGTAGCACATACTGTAATGACGACCTTGATGAAAATCTGACGATAGAATCCAAGCAAAGGATGACAAAAGGCATTCCAGTTTGTGAACCAAATTCAGTTATTCCCTTTAAAGGATCAGACTGAGAACTACAGACTAACTTCAGTCATATAGGCCTGAGGTTAAGAATTGCAGAAGAGGCCACTTGAAACAGTAGTTTAACACTTCAGACATCCTCAGACTGCTGAAAAACAAAAGGTCTGAGGACATTCTTGATTTGTTTTCTCTTTCTCCATCGATAATTCAGAGCTGTTCACCAGAATGACCCCAGGCAATTGAACCAGCCAATTAGGTAAGAGTAAGCTTAGCAGAAGTATCCTTGATTCTTCTTTATCTTCTTTATATGAAAGGGCCACACTGTAAAGGGCATCCAGCTGATAAAGCCCAGGTACACTTTTCAAAGTCTCAAAGCCAATACCTGGTGTAGGGCATTATTGTGAGTGGTCGAGCATTTCCACATTACCATCATCAGTTAATGTTCATAAGCAGTACAATTTCCCTTTGTAAGAAGTCTTACTTGCAGTCCCTCAAAACTTTCATGTGTTTCACGTGATGCCCAAAGTACTCTCTAAATACCTGCAGCTTGCTAGAATTTTTAGCTCAGAGAAGGAAGGTTATGAGTAGAGTTATTCATGTAAGAGACACTGATAAGCACATAGACTATATTAAAAACAGAGTCCAGGTGCACTCAGGTGAAGACTTTGATAGGCTAGAGAGAATTAATGAAAAAATCAACATGTGTAATTTATGGGATTTTTATATACCCTTCTGTAGTAGAAATACATCAACTCATCACCAACTTTCCCCATTATAAATGTAAACAGCTTCAACTATGTGGCTGAATAAACTGCTCAGCTTTTCAGGCACGTTTTTGCAGGACAAAAAGCAGATGCTTTTTTTTAACAAATATCATATGATTTCCTACGTCAGAAAGGGGTTGAAAAAACCTAAAAATGACTGATGACCTACTTCAAAAGGCAGTAAAATTGCAGAGCTGCAAACTTTATAATCTGAACAGATGAGGAAACTGCGCTATTTCTTCTTCTGTAACTTGACAGAACAAATCGAGCAGTGTAAAGGGACTCATGGCAAGTATTTTAAATTTTTTTGGTAGATAAAGAGAGTTAAACAAGGAAACAGGAAGTTATCATCTCATGACTACTACTGCTAAAAAATCCATAATTAAAAAAAGGGAGGATTAAATTACCTGAAAGTCATCATAAGGGAACAGCAGCATCTCACGTAAACCATCATTCAAAATCTGCGTTTTCCTCTGGACGATGACATTTTCATAGTCTATGGGTTCTATAAGTTTTGGTTTTGCCTAGGGAAAAAAAGAAAAAAGGAAAATAAATTCAGGTATGTTGAGGAAAATATACAATTGTTGACTCATTTTAAGAAGTTGCTCTTTAAAAAGTTGGCAGTCTGAGATTTCATCTACATCAAAAAATTAAAATATTAAAAATGCAGCCTATGTCACACTACACTGTATGGATAAGTGCAGCTGATAATTACAGAGGCAAGTATGCTATTTTCCTCAGATGGGAAAACCAGAACTTTTTCACAAAACACACTAAGTCATAGCTTATCAGAATAATACTGTACGTATTGTCACTGAAAAAAAAATAAATTACTAGTCTTTTACATTGGTGGTTACCTTTGCTTGATACTGCAAAATTTCCACAGGCCATCTGCTTCCTCTCAATTGCATGAGTAACTTTCACCAGTTCATGCACTGACTCAACATAAAAACCCTATACCGAAGTCAAGGCATTACAGCTGGCTGTGCACAATCAGACAGAGAAAAACCTTCACCCTGCCAAGCATTGCACTGAGTGGTCAGATGGCAAAGCAGGTTTCGAAGAGCTCTCAGTGAGGCAGCACTACCTCAGAGTGTGCAAACTAATGCAAAACTGGAGTAAAAATCCATTAAAATCCAAATTGCACTTTCTGTGATTAAAATTGTGTATCACAGTACAAAACTAAATTACCACACAAAATTAACTTTTTTTTTTTCTTTTTTACCAGTGGCAATTACAAGAGATTTTTTCTAATTGATAACTTAAGATCAGCAGTACTAGTTTCAAAGAACAGTAGCAAGGCCAGCTTATGTCATCATAGCTGATCAGACAAGAGGAGATTTTATTTTTTTTTTACATTTGCATAACTTACGTTAATAACCTCTCAGTTCTACTGCACAGAATAAATATATTTAGGTCTATTAGAGCTCACAGGGTTAGAGTGAATGGGGCTACACGTGGTTGGTGACTGGTCACCTGTGGTTGTTCCTCTAGGGCTACTCCCGTTCAATATATTTGAATATCAATCAGCTGGATGCAGGAGTTCAATGCACCATTAGCAAGTTTGCTGCTGATACCAAACCAGGAGGGGCTGCTGACTCTCTTGAGGGATAGGAGGCCTTACAGAGAGATCTAGATAGATTGGAACATTGGGCTATGATTATAGGGATGAAATTTTAAAAGTTAAAATGCTGGATTCTGCACCTAGGACAGAGTAATGCCAGACACCAGTATAAATTGGGAGAGGAGTGGCTGGAGAGCAGCCCTGCAAAAAGGGATCAGGAGGTGTTGGTTGGCAGCAGGCTCCACATGAGACAGCAGTGCCCTGGCAGCCAAGAGGGCAAACCACATCCTGGGGTGCTTCAAACACAGCACGACCAACCGGTCAAAAAAGGCAATTATCCTGCTGTATTAAGTCTTGGTGCAGTCTAACCTGGAGTAGTGTGTGCAGCTCTGGGTCCCACAATTTAAGAAGGATGTGCAGGTCCTTGAATGTGCCCAGAGGAGGGCAACAAAGTTGGTGGAAGGGCTTGAGGGACTGTCCTGTGAAGAGAGCCTGAGGACTCTGGGTTTGTCTACTTTGCAGAGAGGCTGAGGGGAAACCTCATTGCTCTCTACACCTTCCTGAAGAAGAGAACTGGAAAGGGAGGTCCTGAGCTCTTCTCCCTAGGACCCAGTGGTAGGATAGATGGGGATGGTTCAAAGCTGTGCAAGGGGAGATTTAGACTTGGTATTAGGAAGCACTTCTTTACAGAGAGGGTGGGGTGGTCACACAATGGAACAGGCTTCCTAGAGAATGCCACAATTCATGTCACACATGATTCATGTCAATGCCACAACCCTGTCAGTGTTTGAGAGGCATCTGGACAATGCCCTTAACAACATGCTTTAACTTTGTCATCCCAGAATTGGTCAGACAGTTGGACTAGATGATCACTATAGGTCACTTCCAACTGAAACAGTTCTATTCTACTTAAGTTCACAGATGACACGAAGCTGGGGGGCAGTGTCGATCTGCCGGAGGGTAGAAAGAAGCTGCAGGGGGTCCTGGACAGGCTGGATCGATGGGCAGAGGCCAACAGCATGAAATTCAACAAGACCAAGTGCAGGATCCTGTACTTTGGCCACAATAACCCCAGGCAGCGCTACAGGCTGGGGGGAGAGTGGGCTGGAGAGGAGCCCAGCAGAGAGGGACCTGGGAGTACTGGTTGACAATCAGATGAACATGAGCCAGCACTGTGCCTAGGTGGCCCAGAAGGCCAATGGATCCTGGCTTGCATTAGGAATAGTGTGGCCAGGAGGAGTAGGGATGTGATTCTCCCCCTGTTCACAGCACTGGTGAGGCCTCACTTTGAGTACTGTGTCCAGGTCTGGGCCCCTCACTTCAAGGATATTGAGGTGCTGGGGCAGGTCCAGAGGAGAGCAACAAGGCTGGTGAAGGGACTAGAGGGAAAGTCTTATAGGGACAGGCTGAGGGAGCTGGGGTTGTTTAGCCTGGAGAAGGCTCAGGGGGGACCTTATCACTCTCTTCAACTACCTGAAGGGAAGTTGTAGTCAGGTGGGACTGGGCTCTTTTTCCAGGCAACTAGCAACAAGACAAGAGGGCATGGCCTGAAGCTGCTCCAGGGGAGGTTTAGGTGTATATCAGGAAGCACATTCTTACAGAGAGGGTGATTAGACATTGGAATGGACTGCCCAGGGAAGTGGTGGAGGCACCATCCCTGGATGTGTTCAAGGAAAGGCTGGATGTGGCACTTAGTGCCATGGTCTAGCTGATGTGCTGGTGTTAGGTCATAGGCTGGACTTGATGATCTTGGAGGTCTTTTCCAGCCTTGCTGATTCTGTAATATTCTGTTCTAATCATTAGTATATCAATAATATTCCTGAGAAACCATTCAGGTCTTTTCTTCATCTCAAACTGAACCAAACAAACTGTCTTTCAAGGACTTAGGAAGGCTTTTGCCAGAGGTTACTGAAGTTATTAAGCCTAGTTCATAGACTACTCAAAAGTTACTTGGGACTCCCTCATTTATACCATATGGTAATTCCACTGTTAAGAAAAATGCAAGAACACAACAAAGCATAACAGCTGAAATGGGCAAAAAAGCAAAATATGGAAAACAAACCTACCCAAAAATTATGAATAAAATATAGCTTTGTGAACAAAAATAGCTACCATTTACAATCACACTGGAAGGATTTGTTTTAAGTTCATAAGCAATCTAACATGCTCAGCACTGTGTATTCTAAGCTTGCCATCTTTCTCCTCAGAGGAGATAGAGAACAGCTGTTCAGTTTGCTGTATAGTGTACCACATTATCAGAGCTTTGCACTTGAGCCACAGCTGCTGCTACATCTCTCATAAACATAACTAATCACAAAGCCAAGAACTAAAACGAGTGTTCACAAGAAAAGACTTAAGCTTACATTCATGTGCTCATCTGTAGGTGAAGTGGTTGGACCATTTTGACCTAGCTCAGAAAAGTATAAGAAAAGCACATAAAAATAGCATAAGAAAAAGCTACATTTTTCCTAATGGACTAATTACACAAAATATTCTGATTGCAAGAGAACTTTCTGTTAAGTCTCCCTTTGAATATTTAGACTGCTGGAATGAATTTCAAACTACTGAAATGGTGTGCTCCAAGCTTCCTTAGTACTCAGAAGGTCAGATGGCATGTTCACAGAACGGCTCGGGTTGGAAGGCTGGGCTAAAGATCAAGTTCCAAGGCTCCCCCATTGGCAGGGATACCTCCCACTAGACCAGGTTGCTCCAAGCCCCATCCAACCTGGCCTTGAACACTTGCATGGAGGGGACATCCGCAGATTCTCTGAACAACCTGTTCCAGTGTCTCACCACTCTCACAGTAAAATATTTCATCTTAATACCTAAAACAAAGCTACTCTCTTTCAGTTTAAAACCTTTGCCCCTCATCTGATCACTACACTCCCTTTCCACCTTTCCTATAGGCCCCCTTTAATATGAGGTCTCCCTGGAGCCTTCTCTTCTGCAGGCTGAACAACCCCCACTCTCTCAGCCTGTCTTCAAAGGAGAGGTGCTCTAGCCCTCTGATCATCTTCATGGCCCTTCTTTACTTGTCCCAGCACCTTTTACATCCAACAATTTGACACACTTCCTATATGTAGGATATACAAAACTACCCCTTCACAACATTTCAGGTTGAACAATCCTACTGTGCCAGATTGTCATAACAAGTTCTGATTCCAAAGAAATTCCAGTAACTTCACCTACTCCTCCAAATCTTAAACAAGGCAGTAGCTGGCCAGTATAAAGTTGCTTCCTAACACATATGGGACAGGGATAACACAGAGTATGAAGAGTCCCTCAAACTTTACTGCTCTTTGAATAAAGTACACCACTTACCATACAGAAAGCAAAACATCCTTTCCTCACCTTTCTCCTACTTTGAAGGTAAGTAGCAAGTTTCTATCTACCTACCCAGGGTAAGGAAGATGATCACCTGTCAGTCACTCTTGGGCATTACACTCTGTAAAAACAAGGCTTACAGATGACTTCAGTACTATGGCCAAGTTAGTCCATTCGGTCAGTTGGCCTTAATCATGTGACTATTCCTTCTGAAGAGCTTGTCATGAGAAATTATATGCAATGTGCTGTAGAGACAGGTTGATTTGAGTGCAGTGCAGGATGATACGATATAGGAAGAAAAAACCCAAACATTCTGAATTAAACTGGGTCAAAGAAGTAAGTAGGAGAGATGCTATCGTGGCATGATCTGAGCCTCCTCACACTAGTAACAGCAACTGAACAGTCAGATTTTGATACAGATTAGAGTGATCTGGCTTTAGAGAGTTCCCCCCAACCAGGCTGCTTTCAGACAGACTGGCCCTGCAAAATGCAGATCAGATGGCTGTGTGACAACTTGTGCCAATAGATGGGAGCTGATGGGACCCTTTCAGAAGCAGGAGAGATTCAGATTACTAAACAGAATATGAAACTCTGCCATTAAGAGCTATTGCAAAAAGCATTTTTTAATTGTTACTT